AAATTAGTTCGAGGGATCAAATATGTTATTGAAAATTGAAGTTAGGGAAAGAAGATGGTGAATGGACAAAAATATCCCCTTACTAACGAAAACTTAACTGAAGGGTTAGATGAATGACCATATCCGTTATAAAAATGAAACTATAAGAACACTCATTGTTAATAATTCTTTTCAGGGACCTTACTTGTTAATTTATGTAAACCAAAAGGACCAAATTTGTATTTAACTTGTCTTTATATTATCTAATCATTTTTAGGTGTACCTAATTTATTTATTTTTCTTTCTAAATTCTTTTAGAAGTGAAGTCTATAATTTACTACTTTATATGGACAACTTATTATACATTTAGGTGTCGTTTATCAAACGCTTACTCGGGTAAGTGTTTACTAAGTCACTTTACTTTACTGGATAAATATGACAATGACTAAAAATCTTACCCGATAAGAACGACGGCAAGAATCGAGAGCCTTAATGCCCGGTAAGTGAGAATGAGGACTCTTACAATGGTTAACGTTTATCGGGATAAATTGTTGCATACGATGCGTTTTAGTGAATAGAATCATACCTGGTAAGTAAGTGATAATGTTGAATTTTACCGGTAAGTGTTTAAGTAAACAGCCCCTTAAACTTAAAAAATTAATTGAGAAATATCTCAAATACAAGATAATACATATTTTTGAAGGTCATGAACAATTTACACAAGTTTTTTTTTTTTTTTTTTAGCGATGTTTAGAAAAAAAACCTGACTTTCATTTTTTTTTTTTTTTTGTGTTTTATTGATGGTTAGAAATGCAAAACACAAAAAAGGGGGTCTCTTGCATTTATCTATATTTGGAGGTCTTGTTTGTTTTTTTCTTTTCAGTTCTTGATTACCTCTTTATGTCTGATTCGGTTAGACATTTTTACATTTAGACTGTTTGTTTTTATTTTATTTTCATATGCTCTTATCACTTAACAAGGCATGAATAAAATAGAGGTAACCTAATCTCTTTATATCTTCTTAATCGAACGCACACCTACACCAGTTCTCTCTAATCGAACACACCCCTCCATCAGTTCTCCAATCGAACACGCTTCTCCATCTCCATTGTATGTATCTCCATCGCCTCCACCAGTTCCATCGTCTGCATCTCCATCTCCTCCGCTAGTTCCAGTTCCCTGTGCGTTTTCGTCCCAGTCGGTTTACGTCTTTGTAGGTTTTTGTTTTTGTCTTTGTGCAAACGATAAGGTATTTTTGTTCCTGTTTTGGTAGATTTGTTGTTTTGTTATATGATTTCGTTTCTGTTTTAGTAATATGGTTTCGTTCCTGAATTATATGATTTCCCTTTTCTTTATACCCATAAGTTTTCTTGAATTCTTGTTCATACCACTGCTTCTCGTCGGATTTATCCATTGCTTAATATTTATATTATTTCATACGATTTATGTTTTTCATGTCAAAAGTGAACTAGAAATTGGTCTCTCTTTACTGATGCTTTTCATCGGATTTATCCACTGCTTAATAAATTGTTTGACTTTAGTTTTTGGATTATGGAGAAACTCAAGGAAAATGCAATATTAGAGGCAGAAAGGTTCAACACGGTCGTACTTGATTGATGATTTGAACTGTTTAAGATATCTATTATTCAAACTTTTGAAGTACTTAATTTTAAGACTTACCAATTTCATATATATTTTGATGAATGTAATAACCAATAGCTTTCTTTTATACATTTTAAACAGTATTTATCGTATTTCATTCCTCAAATTTATGTATACTACCAACCCGTCGTAACCCACAAGGGTTGGGTTGAATTGAGATTATTTCAAACCGTAATAATTGAGTTGAGTTGTAAAAATGTCCCAAACCATCCAACCCAACCCGTGTATACCCCTAATTTTTAGTGTTGGATTAAAAATAACGATTGTTAGATAATTTTACATTTATTTTAATAATTAGTTTTCTTATTGTGATTATTTATATGGATATATGTATTTAAAAGTGAGTGTGTGATATTAAATCATTTAAAACCATAATTAGTTGTAATAAAATATGATGCAATAAATAATATGCGGATATGTTTTGTTGTTGTGAGTTGTAATAATCAATTTTATGGCACTGAGTAGTTGGTAAATTGTGATTATTTAATGAAATAACAAATAAAAGCAAATATATATTATATATAGGGGCAAATTCAAACGAGAATGCTAACTATTTAAGAAAAAGATTATTAATGTACAAAATCATATATGATCTGGACCTGCGACTTAAGTGGTCTCAAAAGTTGTTTGCTTCCATTTAATGTAAATCAAATGTGATTTTGTACATCAACGACATTTTTCTTAAATAATTAGCGTTCTCGTTTCAACTCTCTCTCTCTCTCTCTCTCTATATATATATATATATATATATATAAGACATTGCAAACAAGGCTTACAGAGGTATAAGAGATCTAAAACATTGTTTCACTGCAAATCTTCAGGAACTGTTGTCGGACCTTGTGTGCTCAAGATAATTGGTCGTATGGATCTTCTTGAAAGGTTATGTTTTCGTATAAAGACGGAACTAGTGTTGTTTTGCAAGCTTTCTTTGCCAACCGACAACAGTTGGGGTTAATATTTTACATATGCATTACGAAAATTTAATATGCCCGACTTGATTAAGGGTCGTATCTGTAACCGGTAAGGGAATGTAGATGCTGGTTTAGAAGATACGGGTCTTGTACTCTTGTTGCAGATAATGCTTTGTACTGATAGTCATGGCACATATAACACACAAAATGTATCTTTAGGGGATGCTATTCCAATGCAATAAACGACATAGTGAAAACAATTACAAAAGGTGATCAGATCATATTTTTTGCACGGGTTGTTACCATAAAAGTCATTTATGTTTCACTTACATGCAATATATTATACATGAGAATACATTATAGTTCATTAAGTCGTTTTGGCTACATACGTACATCTATGACATACCATGTTGGTTCGTCTAAGTCATCTGATGACACCCCATATGACTTATGACTTATTTCTGTTCTGTTACACTTCCATTGTACTCAAAGATTAAGTCATGTGTTAAATCAAGGTGTTATAGTTACCATCCCCATTATCATACCACCAGCCGTTGTCTTCAATCAGGGCCACATAAAAACCCGTTAACCCATCTAACCCAACTTGGATATAGATCAAACCAACCTAACCCAAACCAAAACGTCAGTTAATTCCTAAAATACGCAAACATATTTTGGCTTGAAATAGGTTGGGTCCAACCTGATGCCCTGGCTACTCCTTATTCATCATCCCTTGTTTATGCCTCCAAAGTTACGTTAACATTTTATAAACTATAATTGAACTTTAATGTTACGTCATGCTGTTTATTTTCTAGCCTTCCTTTATCTTTTATATCAATACATTAGATGGTTGATCGTAATGCTGCGTAGGTTTTTTGTCTTATTTTCAAATTATCAGTTGTTAAACTATACTTGTTTACGTAATGAAATCTCTTTGCTTCAATAATTATATCTCTACTTCGATGATTAATGGTAGTTTAGGTGCTTACGTAAAGCTACTAACGCCAGCGGCCCACATACAAACCTAAAAGTACAAAATTTAAATATAAACATCACCAGATACAACAATCATATTCATATCTGATTTCTTTTAAACATCATCACAATAAAAAATAAAATAACTAAAACAAATTTCCATTTTAGTGCGAATCAGAAAAAAAACCCTAGTTCGAATAGAAAACCAAGATCAACAGAAATATAGTAGCAAACCACAATTGGCAACTGGATGGATACTGTCATATGAAAAAAGCAAAAAATCCCAAACCGATTTTTCCAAATCACACAAGTTTAGACAAACTTGGACGATGGATGACAACACTGCGAGGTTCCATCTAAGGGACCAACAACATGGTCGACGATCGGACAACAATACTATCGACATGTGTTCCATCTGATCCTAAGTCGTGGATACTGATCATATCACTATTGTCATCGTTCTGATGATAAAATGTACAGTGCTAGCAAAAAACGTAAAAAAAGCAATTTAACATATAAAATTGTAAGTATTTCATCCCTCGTGATGATTTGCATAAGATAATTTAACTGAAAGCAGATGAAAATAATATAACTATAATCTATATTATATTATAAAGCATTTGATAAAAACTCTTAAAAACCATTTTTTATGCATGAAGTCCTTTATATTAATGCATATTACTTAAAATTCAAGATTACAAGTAAACTATGCATATATTCAACTTATTAAAGTTTCATGTTTGAATTCGTGTAACTAAATGCGGATAAACATAATTAAATAGAGGATAAATATATCTTTTTAAAATATAAAAAATCTAAAATATAATTAGGATAATTATTGAGTTATAACAAAATAATTAATTATTATCCTTATAAGAAAATTATATTACTAAACCAAATATAAATTATTTCGTTATTGAACCTAAATTAAATTATAATAAAAAGAATTAAATTAAAAAATTACAAAAAAATATGAATTTTAAATAGTTAATTTGATACTAATATTGATATATTTTTATCAAATTTATATTTTATTCAAAAATAAAAATATAATCGCTTTTTCAAAATCACATAACCATACTATAACATCGACTGAGATAAATAATAAAATAAAATATTAAAATCAAGATATATCTCACTGTATTGCACGAGTACTCTTCTAATAATAAAATGCATGATTAATAAATGTATCTTTTGTTTAAATTTGAATAATGCAATAAAAAAAATTAATATTCTTTCATCTCAAACCCTAGAAAAATTCAAAATCCAACCCGACAGAAAAACGGGCCAGTTACCAAATCCTGACCCGAATATGTAAATGGGCCATCAACGGTAACCAACGGACCAGTGACGGTATCGGACGGCCGGGATCCGACCCAAAACAAAGAGGATCCGACTCGCGAACAACCTCCGTCTAAAAACCTTCGAAAGAATCCCAATTCGAGTTTTCAGCTCATACCCAGAGAGGGATCTTCACTTCGTCAAACAAATCTTCAAAAATTTCCATCAAAAAACCCAAATTCAAATACACCCACGACTCGTTTTCCCCCAAATTCCAGTTTCTGGTCTTCATCATCCACCTAATTTCACATGAGACTTTCGAATTGAAAGAGAAAAATGATCGTTAGGACCTACGGTCGCCGGAGCAGCAGCAACAGTAGGAGTAGTAACAGTCTGACTTTCGACGACGCAGACGGTTTCGACGACTCTTTATCTCAAGAAAGTCCTCAAGAATTAGATAATAACGGTGATATATTCAGTTTCGCGTTTCCGTCTCAAGAATCAATCAAGAATCCGTGGTCTTTTGATTCCGACCCGTATAGTTTCGATTCGTCTCAGGATTCGCGTAAATTGGCGGTTCTACCCCCGAGATCGAAGAAGCCGAGGACTGAAGTGAACGAGAAAAAGAAGGATAAAAAGGGAAAGAAAGCAAAGAAGCCGGTGGTCATGTTTACTGAAACTTCTACATTAATGGAGACACAAGAATTTGGGGAGATGATGGAGCATGTAGATGAGGTGAATTTTGCTTTGGATGGGTTGAGAAGAGGTCAGCCGGTGAGGATTCGTCGTGCTAGTTTGTTGTCCTTGTTGATGGTTTGTGGTACCTTACAACAACGAAGACTCTTGAGAACCCATGGGTAATGAGATCATTTTATGTATCAAGAAACCCATTTGATGAATTGTTACAATTTTACTTGAATCAGATGTGTGTATTATACATTATGAATTATGATACATATGTGTGCAATTCTGACATTTGATGGTTATACATATATAACCAAGTTCATATATGGGTGCATTTTTATGCAAAAACATAATCGAATGTCTTTGTGAACTTGGGGTAGAGTAATCTTAGTAATTAGTTGATATTGGGTAGTTTTGTGGGATTGAGTTGGTTTCAGAAAAGAAGGAAAATATATGGTTGCATGTGTATGTTTAGGTTTTGGTGGATTTAGTTATAACAATTTGCTCAACTGCCGAATTTTTGTTTGTGTTTGTGACTTCATGTGGATATAAGCTTGTAGATCTTTGATGTATATTAGGGAAATGTCACTCTTATCTGGCGTTGTGGGGTTAATCGTGGTTATGTATAAGAAACCCATTTGATGAATTGTTGCAATCACTCGAATTAGGTGTGTTTTAGCCCTTAAATTCTGTACATTATGATACATATGTGTGCAATTTTGACATTTGATGGTTATATATATAATTAAGGCCAAAATCGAATGTCTTTGAGAACTTGGGGTAGAATAATCTTAGTAAATAATCGATCTTGTGTAGTTTTGTGGCATTGAGTTTGTTCAAGAAAAGAAGGGAAATAAATGGTTTTCATGTGTGTGTTTAGGTTTTGGTGGACATGATGCAATGGATTTCAATTTGTGCAATTGCCGGATTTTTGTTTGTGTGGATATAAACTTGTAGATCTTTGATGTATATTAGGGAAATATCGTTCTTGGTTGAGTTTATGGTGTTTTTGGGGTGGATATAAACTTGTAGATCTTTGATGTAGAAATGATAATTTGTTGTGTTCTTTGAACTTGTGAGTCCAAGATTGCTTTGGATCTGTTGTAGTGCGTAATTAATATTTAGTAATCTTGTTTTACAGGACGGCAAAGACAATTATTGATGCTGTATTGGGGCTTAACTTTGATGATACCCCTAGCAACCTGGCTGCTGTGGCTTTATTTTTTGTTTTGACCAGTGACGTAAGCTGCTTATGATGCTTCCTTGTTAATGAATAAGAAACCTGTCGGTTATTTTTAATAAAACTATTTATGGGTTCATTAGTGGTATGCATGGGATTCTACCCGTTCTTCTAATCTTCGTATTGGGTGCTTCACGGGTCCCACTCTTCGTGGATACGAACGGGGTTCAACTTTGATTTGGTTCCCGGATTGTTGGCCATGAATACACAGGGACAAATAATTGAGGATATGGTCGGGGACATTGATACTTTTCCAGAGAAAATGAGAAAGACAAACTTCACAAGCTTTTGATTGTTTTATATATTTAATGCATTGATTATGAATTCGTGTCGTTCTTTTATTGGAATTATGGATATGCACATGTGGATAAACACATCCCCTCATCTTTGATCTTTTAGAATCTCTGTATCCATGTATCACCACATTTGTATCCTTGCAAACATAGATCCAATAATTTCCACACCTCTAGAACTATTCTAGAGCATTGGCTAAACGAGAAGTCAAACCAAACCAAACGAAACAAACTCGGTATATCCCACTTGGAGGTGGGGTCTGGGGGTGGGATGTACGTAGGCCTGACATCTACCTCAAATAGTAGATTGGCTAGACGAGACTAGTTCAAATTATATTTCATCCGGGATAAAAGTTCAATATGGAGAAAGCCATTTTTTATTTCTTATTTCTATAATCTTCTTAAAACAATGGTACCCTTAGTACATTATGTAATTTGAGCACACACAAAAGAAAACTTGTAATATTTCTGTTATGGACCAATGTTATGACTTAATTTACCAGATTTAGTCTTGATTATGTAATCTTTATTTGATTTCAGGGCCAAGAGGATTACCTTTTGGATTCACCTAGTGCCATCCGGTTCTTGTTAAAACTATTGAAACCTGTCACTGTACATGCTATTAAAGATAAAGTTGCAAGCATTGGTAGTAAACTTGTAGCTCTAAGCAAGGATGCTCCCATCTTTAACGACAGTAAGGGGGAAGAATCCACGTCTGCTGCTATTTTGCACAAAGTTCAGGAAGTCCTCATCAGTTGTAAAGAATTGAAGCCGAGAGGTGGAAGTGATAGTGAGACAAAAAGACCAGAATTGAATCCAAAATGGGTTGCTTTACTAACGATGGAGAAAGCTTGCTTGTCGACTATTTCTCTTGAAGGTACATTCAAAACTCTCCCGCTGAATGATATTTCACTTTGATATAGTTACTCATAGAGGATTAAAAAAGTTGCATTCAAATCTTGAAAAGTTGATGAACATAGGTTCAGAGAAACCGATTAATCCATGAAAATAACCAAACGATCCCAATACACACACATATATCATATATCACCGGGTGGGGTCATGGGAGGGTAAGATGTATGCATACCTGACCTCTATCCAAAGAGTAGAGCGGCCTGTGTAGATCCCTGGCTTGTGAAAAGTGTGAGAAAGAGAGAAAGTGAGATGAAATAAAGCTTAATTCATCAATTAGTTGCTAATCAAACTAGTGGGTGTCTGGGTGACTCTTAATGCGTAGGCCACCGGCGAGTTGGCCCGAACTAATCAAAGTGGTGGGGGATACATAATTTCTTGGTGCTGCTTAAGTGGCCGTAAGCGGGGGAATTTAGAACACGATCCTTAGGATTAGACTCGATTGGCTATCATCACGACGTTTTTCTGCTAATTTAACTCCTTGATTAGGTTTGTTTTCAACAAATAATTCATGTTTATTTGCATTTTTTCAGAGACAACTGGGACTGTTCGAAAGACGGGGGGAAACTTCAAGGAAAAACTAAGAGAATATGGAGGACTTGATGCTGTAATTGACATCATAAGGGAATGTCATGCTGTAATGGAGGTGTGACCTTGTATGCCCTTTGTTCTCTTTTTCAAAATGTGTTTGTGTGTGTGTGTGTGTATAGGGTCAAGTTCAGGGGAAAACCGTAAAAAAATGAAAAATTAAGGAACACCTTGGTAACTGTTGATCTGTATGGTATGCACATGTGCATACAAGTAATTTGTATGGACATGTGCATAACATGCACACGTGCATAAATACCAAGAAACAACTTCAATTGCTTATATGCACATGTGCATACCATCCAGATAAATGGTTACCACGACGTTCCACAATTTTTCATTTTTTTGAGGGTTTTCCCCCGAACCTCCCTCCCCCTCTCTCTCTCTCTCTCTATATATATATATATATATATATATATTAAGTGGTAATTTATTTATCAAGTGATGGGATAATCTCATCCACCAATTAATTGTAGAGCCGTATAAGTTGTTGTTTTAATAAATGACATATGTTATATTAAAATATGATGAAATCAATTCTGGTCCACATATTGAAGGATATTTTAGTCATTGACAAATGGTCGAACCTTTCCCTAAAACTATGTTCCCAATCCAAAAGCCTTTGGCCTAGCGGTATCGTAGCCCTTGGCCTTCTAGGAGGTCAGGGGTTCAAACCTCACCATAGGTGAGGAGAGTGTGTGAGTTTATTTGTTGCATTTGCCGTATATAAATATTATATACTTCAAAAAAAAAAAATTATGTTCCCAGTTTCTTGATTCAGAGAGAGCAATATTTTTATTTGCAATCGATTTATGAGACACCTGGCTTCATTTTATAGGGGAAGTCTAATCTTTTTATGATCTCGTAATTATATGCAGGGATGGCTAGAACGATATTCATCTCCAACCCCCGAGTCACAAAAGATTGTTAACCTAGAAAGCCCGATGCTTCTGTTGAAGTGTTTGAAAATAATGGAAAATGCTACATTTCTTAGTAATGATAACCAGGTAAACTTTTCTTGCAATCGGTTTATCAGTCGGATTTCTTGTTCTTATGAAAGATTAAGTTGTGATGTGAACTAAATCAGCCGGGATTCTTGTTTGCCAGAGCCATTTGCTTGGAATAGAAGAGGACTTTGGTTATCGGCATGTTTCACAGTCTTTCACGAAACTTATTCTTAGCGTCATTAAGATCCTCTCGGGTATCTATTCTATCTATATGAAACTAATAGGTGAAAACAGTGTTCGTATCTTGCTTAATATTGTTTTAAACTTTATTTATTGCCATTGATTTCCAGGTGTTTTTCTACTCAAAACTTCGTCATTTAAGCCTGACAGTAAAAACTGCCATGGTCTTTCCAATGGGACTGATCATCTTCCTTCAGTGGCGGATAATGACAAAGGTACGGCATAAGTAATTCATGATGAATATTTTGAGAAAGTTCATTTAGGAAATGTAAATATTTTGAGAATCACGAGAACCAACTATTCATGATGAATATACATTAATATTCATGAATATTATTCATCATGAATATCATGCATTTCATTCATATTCATCATGAATAGTTGGTTCTTACGGTTCTCAAATGGACCTGCCCCTATTATTTTGACTAATTTTCTTAAAACATGCTTCCTAATTTATACCTGTAGTTTCATGTTATAAAGTTCAATAATGAATATAAACTAATTGATGAATATTGTTTTCTTACTTGACTTGTTTTCCTAATCAGCAGTCGACTGCAATGAAATTATATATATCAGCTCCTCCATAGAGAATTGCAGTATGGATCAGATCCCTTCCCAAAAGACTTCTAAAAAAACCCGAACTTTATCCCATAAACAGACGGGTTCTTCAAAAGCTGTTTCTGGGGTGGATGGTCACTTGCTAAAAACGAAAGCAAAATCTTCGACTTCTAAATCAAGCAGTAGTACGTCAAGTGGTTTGAAGAACGGAGGTAACCATGGTTCATGGATAAAGTTGGGCAAAAAAACCGAACGCACAAAGTGCACCACCACGTTCGATTTTGAGGATAGCCAAGATTCTTTTGGCAGCGAGGACCCTTTTGCATTTGGTGAAGAGGAGAATAAACCGTCAAAGTGGGATTTATTGTCGGGGAAAAAGAACGTATCTCAAAGTCAAAAAAGCAGTTCGGTGGTTGAAGAAGATGATTATGGGAGCCAATCTTTAATGGTGTTGAGCCAACAAGAATCAAGCAATGTGGAACGTCATGATTCTCCTCAAGTTTCTTGCTCACTTGCGGATGATGATGACGACGATGATGATGAAAAATTCAGCCTTTTGGCTGATTGTCTTCTAACAGCGGTGAAGGTAAAAATTCTCACAGGTCCTTTTGGTTAAATGACAATTTTACCCGTACTAATATAGGAAGTAATGTATTTCTCCATGTTATAATTAACAGTAAAATTGGAAAGTAGGCACTTTCGAAAATGGATTCTCGGACAAACTAAAATAGAAACGTGAACACTTATTTTAGGACGGAAGAATAAATGACAATTTTACTCTTAATAACATAGGAAGTAATGGATTTCTCCATGTTATTACTAAGGGTAGAATTGGAAAGTAGTCACTTGCTTTTGAAAATGGACACTGCAGACAAACTAAAATAGAAATGTGGACACTTATTTTGGGATGAAAGAAGTATTTAATTAACTAAATGACAATTTTACCCTTAATAATATAGGAAGTAATGGATTTCTCCGTCTTATAATTAAGGGTAGAATTGGAAAGTAGGCACTTAGTTTTGAAAATGGACACTTATTCTGGGACAAACTAAAATAGAAAGATGGACACCTATTTTGGGATGGAGGAAGTATTTAATTAACTAAATGACAACTTTACCCTTGAAATAGAACCGTTTGAACTCATGAGAGTCTTGTTACAGGTTTTGATGAACTTAACAAACGACAACTCTGTGGGATGTCGGCAAATTGCCGCCTGTGGAGGGTTGGAGATCCTGTGTGCTTTGATAGCCGGCCATTTTCCATCGTTCAGTTCGTATTTACCCACTTTTAGTGATCTAAGAGACAAGTCGCTTCTTGAGATTGATCATCAGGATAATAAGCGGCTTACTGATCAAGAGTTGGATTTTCTTGTGGCTATTCTCGGCTTGCTTGTCAATTTGGTTGAGAAGGATGGTCATAACAGGTGCTCGTTTCTTATGCTTACAAAGCATCTGTGACCTCATTTATTTTAAATGGAAATCGTTGCAATTTTGATTGGATAGAAGGATTATATTTATATATAATATGTATTTTTGGTACTTGGGCCATGTTTGATAACCATAAGATAGCTTTATTAAAAAAGATCTGTTTGGTTAGCAATAAGATAGCTTATGAGCTAGCTTTATTGAAAAACATCTGTTTGGTTAGCCATAAGATAGCTTATAAGCTAGCTTATTGCAAAAGCCCCATTTGGTTAGTCATAAGATAGCTTATTGAAAAAGCCCCGTCTAGCTTATTGAAAAAGCCACGATTGGTTAGCCATAAGATGGCTTATAAGCTAGCTTATTGAAGAAGCCCAGTTTGGTTAGCAATAAGATAGCTTATAAGCTAGCTTATTGAAAAAGCCATGTTTGGTTAGCAATAAGATAGCTTATTGAAAAATCTCTGTTTGGTTAGCCATAAGATAGCTTCTAAGCTAGCTTATTGAAAAAGCCCCGTTTGGTTAGCCATAAGATAGCTTATAAGCTAGCTTATTGAAAAAGCCTTATTTGGTTAGCCATAAGCTAGCTTTTTGAAATGCTACTTCAAGTAGCTTTTCAATAAGCTCCGGGGCTTTTTTCAACTTTTCCAATTATGTCCCTTGTATTTTTCCAATTAATTCTTAACATGTCCTTTTTGGTCATTTTATATTGTCATCTAGCTTATCTGTTAGTTTTTATCCACTAACTTATCAGCCAAGTCCAACAACTAGCTTCTAGTTTGTCATATTCACCTTTGAGATTTCTGCATAAGCTCATGGTTCGTGATTTCTACAGATCACGACTTGCAGCTGCGAGTATATCGATACCGAGCTTAGAAAGTGAAATTACGGATGTAATTCCTCTGCTTTGTTCCATTTTCTTGGCGAACCAAGGGGCTGGTGAGGCAGCTGAAGAAGGACGACAATCGGCTTTGGTGAGTACATTCATATTTCTTTTTTAAAGCAAAATGACCAAAATATCCATGGTTTAAAGCAAATTCTATAGACCAAAAAGTTGCACTTCTCTCCATCCCAAAAGAATTGACATATTTGATCCTGATAGAAGTTGTTGTCTTTTAGCTAAATGACCAAAATATCCTTGGTTTAAAGCAAATATTGTGAGCCAAGATGTATCGCTTCTGCTTGAAATAATCAGAAATGGAAATGTTGTGTTTCTTGAAATACCCGTTGCTGGTTTTGCCTGCACTTTAACCTACATATGTGTGAGATTTATTGATTTGGGGCTGTTTCTGCAGAATGATGAGGATCCTGTTTTAGAGGGAGAGAAAGAAGCGGAGAAAATGATTGTTGAAGCATACTCGGCTCTTCTTATTGCATTTCTATCTACAGAAAGGTTGGTTGACTTTTTTAGTTTTGCAAATACCTTTCGACTTCTTTTTCTTTTATGGGAACACATGTTCTTGACTTGACAGTAAGAGCATACGCAACGCCATTGCTGAATGTCTTCCAAACCGCAAGCTGGCTGTTCTCGTGCCTGTCTTGGAGAGATTTGTGGTATGCCATTTTTGCCCTTTTAACCTTGTACTCCTTTCATTCCGACATAAATGTCCACAATGAAAAATGCACACAGTTTTAGAAATTTGTAATTACTATGATTTTTAATTAACTAAATGACAATTTTACCAATAATAACGGAGGGAGTAATGAATTTTTCTATCTCATAATTAAGGGTATAATTGGAAAGTAATGAATTTTTCAATCTCATAAATGACAATTTTACCCTTAACAACAGAGGAAGTAATGAATTTTTCCATCTCATAATCAAGGGTATAATTGGAAAATAGGCGTTTTACTTTGGAAGTGGATACTTATTCTGGGACAAAGTAAAATAGAAACGTGGAGACTTGTTTTGGACACAGGGAGTATCAAATCCAAAACCCCAAATCAAGAAATTTCCAATCGAGAAAAATCTCTCTGTGTGTCTTCATGGAAACAACCGTTCTACTCTTTAGGGTAGAGGTCAGGTCTGCATACATCTCATCTACTAGACCCTGCTTTCAAATTCAAAAACCCACATCAAGAAATTTCCGATTGACAAAAATACCCTTTATTGTTATGATCTTGCAAAATCTAGGTGTCTTCATGGAAACAACCGCTCTACTCTTTAGGGGTAGAGGTCAGGTCTGCATACATCTTATCTTACCCATTAGGTCTCACTTTTGAGTGAGATTTACTACTGGTCAGTTTGGTTTATCCTCTGAACTTAACTCTCCTTTTTTTGACTAGGAATTTCACATGTCGTTGAACATGATCTCAGAGGAGACACATTCGACGGTTCTTGAGGTAATCGAATCATGTAGGATGCTATGAAAGTAATTGAATGAATGAATGAATCTTGTACAGCTTCAACAACCTTCCTCTTGATGAGGAAAACAGATAGGATCATGTTATATTGACCACATTGACCACCATTACATCATATTTTACTTCTATTTTATTTCATAGTTTTTTTTGGGTAGAATTTGTTTTATGCGAGCTTTTGTTGTTCGTTTCGTTCGTAAGCCGTGGTTTCTTCACCATCTTGGTGTTGTGTAGGATCCTTGTATGCATGATTTATGCTTTATGGGTCAACTTTAAGAAGAGTTAACCAAGAGTGTGTTTTGGTGTATGTTAGTTGGAGAAATGATTTCTGAAGAACTGCTTTGGAAGTGTATTTTTAATGGTATTTAGTAGTGTTAAATATTTATATAATTTCTGTAATGGTAAAAAGTTATGAAGTCAGTGTTTCCTCATGGAAACAACTGTTTTACTATTTGGGGTAGAGGTCAGATCTGCAAACATCTTACCCCTCGGGCCTTACTTTCAAGTAGAGATTGCCGGTTGGGACGGTCCGGGACGCTCGGACCCCGGTTCAAGGTCCGGCTGGAGACCGGGTATGTATAGGCCTAATTTTTCAAATTTTTAGAAGTTATAGTACAGAAAAAGTGTGTTTCAATACAAAATTTTACGAATCATAATTATAATTACGTGAATAGCATTATTTGTAAAAAAGATTGAAATTTCTTTTTAAAAATCGAGCTGAGCCCGGGACTGGGACCGGCGGGCTATGTTGGACCAAGGGTGTTTGGTTGGGACCAGGACTAGGATTGGCCAGCACGACATGGATTTTTGGCCATTTCTACTTTCAAGTGGGATATGCAAGGGGTGTTGGATGCGTATTGTATGCGAGACACGACAATACAAAAATTTGTTATCGTACGTTTGACATGACATTAGACCGAGACAAAATGATTGAGGCAAAAATACGTTATTTTGTTTTACTGAAATAGATGGAATAAAAATAAGAAATATGAGATAAGATTGATAAAATACTAAACTATTAAGTCAAATTAAAACATTAAAATCTGTTATAATTCTTTTAATCTCATTTTTGTTCGTCTAGTCTTAGGGGTGTTTGGGATTGCTTATTTGAAACAAAAACACTTATCAACTTATTATAAGTCAGAAAGGTTTAACATCTTCAAAAACTTCTTATTACCGGTTTGACACCGGTATAAGTTGTTTATCCAAACACTCAAAAATTCTTATTACCGGTGCCATATCGGAATAAATCAATAAGTTGTTTTTATAAGCAATCCCCAGCACACTCTTATTAACGAACCAAGCACATCGTTCATTTTCTCTTGGTTTAGTTTGGTTTTCAAATTATAAACTATAAAGGAGTTATTGGTGTGGGCCTAAATTGAGCCCGTCGGTCGAAAGGCCCTTCGAGACAGGAACCAGTTATACATAGGATCGATTTTTTTTTGAAGTTTTTAGAAATAACAATACAAGTTTTTCAAGACTTATTTTTTAAATAAATATATAATATTTAAAGCGTATTCCAATGCATAATTATAAAAAAACCTGTGTAACATTTTTGTCGAAAAGGATTTAAAAAACAATACTTATGAGAAAACCGGAATGGGCATATGACCGATTTGGGGCCCCGCCAAAAAGAATATAAATTGGGTCCGGTTGCCACGCCTCGGATCGTGGTAAGATCCTTTTTGGTCTTGAATTTTTGTTGGATGCGAATTATAATAAGGTTGTTAATATATGAACCCATATTGAAATCAAGTAAGATCGTACATTGGGAATGTTTTTACATCCCAATATGCATTTTCACACGTGTTGATAGAAAACTGGTTTATAGATTTATATAACTTGTTGGGTTTATGCGTCAACATACACGATCCACCGAGATTCAGCCATGCGTCGCTCAGATTCGTCCCTCCCCCCCAAAGCACGCCCCCCCTCATTTGCCCTTCTGGCCCATTTTTCGGAGGCTAGGTCCTTATACATGGAGGAATTTTCGCAAGTGTTGAGAAAAAATCACAAGTATTTCTCCATGCTTGGCCCCTAACGTTTTCTACAGGCACCATGGCTCTTTGGCTTTCTCGCACGGTTCCTTGGTTTGCCTGCATGCTTGCCTTGGCTTCCCTGCATGTCGTGCCCGATGACTACTACCGTTGGCTTGGCGTCCTTGCACGGTGCCTTGGCTTGCCCGCATGCCGTGCACGTTCTTCCTTGCACAGTGCCTTGGCTTGCCCGCATGCCGTGCACGTTGACTACAACCGTTGGCTTGTCGTCCTCGCACGGTGCCTTGCATTGGCTTGCCCGTATATCGTGCCCCTTGAGTACTACCATCGGTTCGGCTTTCCTGCACAAGGTGCCCCTTGACTACTAATATATATATATATATATATATATATATATGTGTGTGTGTGTATGTGTGTTTATGTATGTGGGGGGGGGATGTGTACAATATTATAAAACTCTTAAAAATTAATTTTTATACATGAAGTACTGTTTATTGATGCATATTATTAACATTCAAGATTAGAAGTAAATTGTGTATATATACAACTTATTAAATCTCTATATTTGAATTCGTGTAACTAATCACAAATTAACATAATCAAATACAGGATAACATTTACAAAAAAAATCTAAAATATAATTAGGATAATTATTGAGTTCTAACAAATATTTAATTATTATATTTATAAAAAATTATATTATTAAATCAAAAATGAATTACTTCGTTATTAAACCTAAATTAAATTATAATAAAAAAATTGAATTAAAGAAATTACATAAAAAACAAGAACTTTTAAATAGTTAATTTGATACTAATATAGATATATGTTTTTCAAAATTTTATGATATCTTCAAATTTTATATTTTATTCAAAAATAAAAATATTATCATTTTCTCAAAACCACATAAAACCGTATTATAACATCGACAAGAACAAAATAAAATGAAACATCAAAATCAAGATGTATCTCGCTGCATTGCATGAGTACCTTCTAGTGAGAGTAAATATGTAATTTTTTATTTGATAAATGTAATTTATATTTTGGTTGATGCATATGATAAATTTATTTAATGAGAGTAAAAATGTAATTTTTTATTTGATCTTTCTTTTGTTGCAAATTAATTTTCGGTTATATTTCTTAATTATTCCATGTCTTGTCATTGTGAATATTCCATGCAAATTAATTGTCGGTTATATTTATTAATTATACCTGAGTAAACACTTGTTCGTAGGTGAACCATCTCATTTCAACATTTAAAAAAATATTGTGTTCATATGTGAACCTGATAACTACATACACGTAACAAGAACCAGGTATGTATAAATTACCAATTATTCAAAAAAAAAATTGAATAATGTTCAGAAGTAAACACATTTTTCATTCCACATTTATTTCATATATGAATGACACTACATAGTGTATGTGTTTACTCAAATAAAACATGGATGTTACAAAAATCTTTACTTGACTTTTTTTCCATATACACCCTTGTTCATACATGAACAATTCCCATAAATATCGAATACTTGTTCACACATGAACCATTAACCAAAAAAAGCTGTAGAAGAATCTGATGTTGGAGATCTTGCTGTCGATTTCGATTCGATGACCAGAGTAATTACCGGATAGTTACATTGTTATTAATAGACGGTTACAAACATCCCATTGTCATTAATGGACAACTGAAATCTTTTCCCAAAATACCCCTTGTGAACATTGTTCACTTAGATTACATTGTTTATGTGTGCAATTATATACATTTTATGTCATGAATGATCTCAGCCACAAATTTCGAAGATCAATGAATAAGATTGGTTCACAAAGTTAACACCATATATTGGGTTAACAAATGAATTCACCCCTACATACCATATCATGGGGCCGTTTACCAAACACTTACCCGGGTAAGCGTTTACCAAGTCATATTACCTCACCGGATGAATATGGTAAGAACTAAGAATCTTACCCGGTAAGAGCGAGACAAGGACCATGAGTCTTACCCGGTAAGTGAGGGCGACGACTCTTACCATGGTAAGCGCTTACCGGGTGAATTGTTGCATACAATGTCGTTTTGATAGACTAAAATCTTACCCGGTAAGTAAATAATAATGTTAAATTTTACCGATAAGCACTTAGAAGGTAAGTGTTTGGTAAATGACCTGCTATAATAATAAAATTGATGTTTTTATAACCGCCCATTAATGAATGTGAAGTTAAGACAAAAAAGAAGATTACCATTGTGTCCTCAATATTAACTATATGGCGATTGATTAACCTAATCTAACAAAGGCTTGTGATTGGTCTAAATGGTTTGTATAGTTAATGCTTTTTTCATGGTTAACAAATGATCTTAGCTCTCTATATATAAATGTGACGTCTAAACCTTCTTAAAAATTAAGGGTTCAAGTTTCACCGTAGGTATACATATATATAATCTTCGAAAAGAAAGAAGCGTCTGAATTCATCAATGAAAAAGACACGATAAGTGATACACGAGTCAACAAACTCGAACATGAGCTCGAGATCGATCATACATTATTCAAATGAGGCGAGTCTGCTAATGGGATTATGATCAGCTATGCTTACGGAGGAAGGCGAGAATTAGCGAGTTTACCTGATCGGGAAATTGTTCTTGAACAAAATGGCTTCCTTCGGGTAACCATTCTATCTCCAAATTCGACGCAAAGTGTTTAACAATTCCGCTCTTTATTAAATCTTCGACTCCTGGAAATTTCAAGAAATAATCCTTCTCCCCCAAGATCAGCAGCATCGGATTCTTGATTATGGGATCTACTATGTTGTATTCTTCGTCCATCGACCTTAAACAACACAATTCACAACAAACCGAGTTCATGCACGCTGGTGTAAAAAGACTCACGGTTTCGTGGGTTTGTGACTTGAAGTGCGTTTGCCGTTTGGTATGCGGACAAGACTGGAGTGGACGGGAAAACTAGGGTTCCAAACCTTTCTGTAATAAGAAGGTAAGCTTTCAAGCCCCTTGACTTTCCATTAGACTAATTTAGTCAAAGGCGTTGTGAACTGTAATTGTGAAAAGGTTGGCGTTGCTGGGCTGAAGAAGAACTTGTCGTTGAAAAGGAAAAATACCCTTCACCGAAATCAAAAGAGTAAGCAGTTGACCAGAAGAACGAGAGTGAGGTAGACGGGTGAAAGAATTGTAGAGGGTTTTAGGGTTTTAATTTTGACATGGGTAGTTTAGTAATTTACTAATCTTTGCCTTATTTCCTTTATTTTTGTTTCACCTACTCTGATATTGTCCTCAAATTCCATGTCCTCACCCTGTCCCACCAATCACTTGAAGACACATCATTATATCATTTATTTAATTCATTCTTTTATTCTCTCAATAAAGTGATGATGTGGATTCACATGATTGGTCGATATAGGATTTGGGGACAATAGGTTTTTATTCTATTTTGGTGGGATAGAAAATAATGTCTTTTTGTCCCGCTCAGTCCTGTCTGGTCTCGGTCTAATTGCTGCATCAAACGTGGAACAACAAGTTTTTGTTCTGTTTTTGGCTGTCCTGCTAAAAGCAACCTTAAAAGTTGAAAGAACCAACATTGGTTCTAAGGTGTTATATGGTGTTGTTAATTACCTGTAAGGAACTTTGAGTGAATTTAGAAAACCGGATTTCTCGTACAGAGTTCCATAGGCCGAAAGATCCTCCTCCGTGAGCCACGACGGTAAAGGGGTAGATGGTTCGACTATATCCATAATCTCTTGGTTCTCGCTGGCGACTGGCAATTCGCTTCTAGAAAACAAGATGTATATGTTTCGTACAACAGTTTTTGCATCAAGACGGCCGAAATCAGCTTCGGCTCTTCCAGGTTCCTAACAGAAACAAAATGTTGTTATCCACAATGGTGGATGTTTTTCAGTACAGTTTTTTCTCCAAAAAAGTGGGACCCACAAACAAAGAACATGATTATCGAAAGCTTGTAATGGCACAAGCAAAAAGAGGTTTTCTTGGGTTTTTGTCCAAAATAGCCGATCTGGCCTCGCTCTTCACTTTATAGCCACCTTTAACCTTTTTATCTTATTAACCGAAATAGTCGACATTATACAATGAGCACTTAAGCAACTTACATAACCCACCTTTTTCAATATAATATTCAGAAAAAGTAAACATTAAGCAAGTTGCATAAGTGCTACTTGCGTGATGTCTTCGTGGACAAACTAAGTGCCACTTGCATTATCTTGGCTATTTCGGTCAATAAATTGAAAAGGTGGCCATAAAGTCAAGAGTAACAGAGGTTCAAAGGCGAAGATTGTTAGGTTCGATAATCACATTTGTGATTGTTAATCTGAAAGAAATGAAACATAAACCAAACCAACCCAAACGAGTATATCCCACTAGGGACCGGGATAAGATGTATGCATACTTTTCCTTTGCCTCAAGAGGCAGAGAGACTGTTTCCGGAAAGATTTGTATCTAAATGCAAGGGACGTGAACAACATTTTGTAGTACGCACCCGCCATCTATTGATGTAGAAACCTTCAGGCAGCTCTTTGAGGAAATTAGGGGGTCCGAAGGGTGTATGTGGTATTCCAAGCGATATAACTCCAGTTACTCTCGTGGGGTGGAGGAGCGCAAAGAGGTACGCTGGTCTAGTCCCAGAGTCTTTCGCGATTATGGAAATCTAAACGCAAGTAAAAAGAAATAGTCGTCAAAATTTATCATCAAAAGAGTAAATAATCAAAGTCACTACCGTAACAATCACCTAAATCATACATGAAAATCTGGAAAAAAAACGTTAAGGGGCACTTTGCTTCGTTTCAGGAAACAAAAGTGGAAGTAAGAACAGGTATGCTGAGAAATGGAAATGGGAATGAGTTTTCATTCGCAAATTGGGGAACGTTTTGTTACTAATATCTGGTAATGACTCGTTCCGTTGCATCAAACAGCACATCAATAATGATTTTCACTTCCATTATGGACCCTTATTACTTCCAAGTTCCAAGCAACCAATCCTTGGTTTCGGGAAATTGTCCAAAATAGCCATTCTGGACTCCCAATTCATTTTATAACCATTTTTCTACTCAATTGACCGAAATAGCCAAGATTTTTGCAAGAAGCACTTTTAACAATTTGGGTGAAATCTACCTTTTGTGAATTTAATATTTTTAAGGAAACACTTCGGCAAGTTGCTAAAGTGGTATTAGCGAAATACTGACGGGACAAGTAACACTTTAGCAAGCTGCGTAAATGGCCTTTCCATGTTAGTATTTCACAAGAAGCTATCTAGCAACTTGCGAAAAATGTTAGTTGATGAATAATTTCGCAAGTTGCTAAAGTGTTACTTGCGAAATCTTGGCCATTTCAACCAATTGAGCAGAAAAACGGCTATAAAGTGAATTATGAGGTTCCAGAACGCCGATTTTGGACAATTTCCCCGGTTGTAATACCGTGATCGAAGTATGTTGATACGAGCCTTTTAGGTAAGTTTCAATAGTGTTCTGCAACATTCAAAACACAGACATGATTTAATAGTGATTTTCCTTCTATTTTAAGTGTGCAACTGTTACCGTCAAATTTAGGGCATTTTAATCGTTTGCCGGAAAAGTGAGAATAAAATCAGACACTAACAGAAAAATTCGCTGGAAAGTGCATATGATGAGATCTACAGACTTTCGGAATGGAAAATTTGTACTGTTAAATGCAATAATCGTTATACAGCACAACAAATTAAAGCATCCGTTGATGTACCTTAGCAATGCCGAGAGAATCAAGGATTGCGAGAAGATCGTCGACGAGATCGGAGAATCCAAATTTCTCGGTCACTGGAGGTGGATCCGAGAGTCCGTAGCCTCGGCAATCGGGCGCTATAGCTCTGTAACCGGCATTGGCGACGGCAATCATCTGGTGCCGCCAGCTGTACCATATCTCCGGAAAACCGTGGAGGAACACCACCACCGGCGATGATTCGTCTCCGATCTCGGCTAAATGAAGCTTCACTCCGCTGACTTCCACGAACTTGTGCACTATCTGATCCATTTTTGCTTGAATTCTTTGGAGAAGTCTTCAATGGGGGGAATTTAACAAGAAAAGATCAACGGTGGCATGCGTCAATCAGAGCATTCCGTTCTTGAAGTTGTCGTGAAATAATATTTTATTAGTTTTTATTAATTTTTTTTTTAATTTTTATTATAAAAATATGTAATCAACTATTTTTTGTAAAATCGGTTTGATCACAAAATAATATTGAAATTTCACAGTAAATCATACTAAGATACAAAAAACACGATGAAAGTGTATTTTTACAGTGTTTTATTGTAAAGATTCAATATTATTTATATGGTATCATGGGTCTCATGAAAACAGTCTTGCCTCACGCGATCTCAGTTCTCATAAAAGATATTTTTATAAGTAATCATCATTGTAATTATGTTGATTTTTTTTATTACAAAAGGTGAGTTTTTATAATTCACAAAGGGGCCGTTTACATAAACACTTACCCGGTAAGCACTTACTGGTAAAATTCAACACTATCGCTTACTTACTGGATAAGATTTTATTCACTAAAACGCATCGTATGCAGCAATTTACCCCGGTAAGCGCTAACCATGGTAAGAGTTCTCGTCCTCGCTTACCGGGTAAGACTCTCGATTCTTGCATTTGCTCTTACCGGGTAAGATTATTAGCCATTGTCATATTCATTCGGTAAAGTAAAGTGACTTGGTAAACGCTTATCCGGGTAAGCGTTTGGTAAACGGCCCCTAAATTTAAAAATATATAAAACTACACAATGATACTTCTTATAAGAATTACTTTTTTGACTTCGATTTATTTTTTCAACATCAATAATTACATAAAAAACTATTAAAATGTTAAAAACTGCATACAAAACTATTAAAATGTCGTTTTAACACAAATTCAAGGTAAAAACCCGATATAGGAAAGATCAAAGAGTTAATGGGATTTTTCATAGATATTTGGAAAATAAGAAAACGAGCTCGAAAGAAGTCTAAAAACCCAAATCAGAAGCTAGAACACAGTCGCTTACACGACTTCACCTGCGACTTAGGGGCCGGCCCCACAAATACCTAATCGGTAAGTGCTTACCAACAAAATTTAACACTATTATATATTTACCGGGTAAGATTTTAGTCTACCAAAACCACATCGCATGCAACAATTTATCCCGTAAGTGCTTACCATGGTAGGACTCGTCACCCTCACTTAACGGGTAAGACCGTAAGACTCTTGGTCCTTGTCTCGCTCTTACCAGACAAGATTCTTGGTCTTTACCATATTCATCCGATGAGGTAATATGACTTGGTAAAGGTTTACCCGAGTAAACGTTTGATAAACGGGTCCTTAAGTTGCATGTCGGGTCATGGGCATGTTGTTACAAGTCGTACACATATTGCTTTTATTTGTTATATTTCGTTATTTTGTTTCCTAATTAGTTTAGAATAAATTTTTATTAGTTTTAATCATTATTTATTAATCATTATTTATTGGCTACCTAATTGAATTATGATTATTTTTTATTATTATTATTATTATTATTATTATTATTATTATTATTATTATTATTATTATTATTATTTTATTAATTATTTAAATACTTTCCTAATTGGTTTATGATTAATACAGATTTGGATTCTATAAGGGTGCGTTTGGTGCGCAGACAAGACAGGACGGGACAGGACAGGACATGACAGTTGTTCAGCGTTTGGTAAGACATAACATGACAGAACAGAACTGGTTAAAATGACCAATTTACCCCCAATGAGCTGTTTAGTGTTTTTTTTCACGAAATAATCAATATAAATGTTCCAACTATATTCATCAATACGCATCTATTCTACATAAAACAGTAAGCATTTTTATTTGAAAAGATGGTTACCTAAATCTTGCTTCCAATGTTCAACAAACATATTACTGCTTGCACACTATCCTCATTAAGACCATCATTCAAGAAACCCTAGAATTCCACACAGAGTTTTAACCCAAATATATATATATATATATATATATATATATATATATATCGGAAATCAATCAAACCCCCCAACGATGCATAAACTTCATCAGCAATTACCAAATTCAAAGTAGAAAACTCATCAAGCCGACACCAAGTTTTACATTAATACACAGAGAAACAAACAAATAGACATACAAATAGATAGATTATACGTTTTACCTGAAGTGAGATTCAGAAGAGGGTTAAGAGGGGCGAGACCAAGAAAAGATCCAAAAACAAGCTTCGAATTAGGTCTAAACCGAATGGCATTTGGAGGTCGGAATGAACAGCGAATTGAAGAATTCGATCTGGAAATCGAAGGAAGTGACGATTTTAGAGATGACATGCTCCATGTAGTTGTGACACTCGCCATCTTCTATCTTCGATTATGGCCCGTGGAGGAAGGAAGGGGTGCGATGGAGGGTGCAGGGGCGCCGATTATGGAGGGTGCAATGTGGGGAAGAAAGGGGGAAGGGGGTAGTGTGGTAAAAATGTTTCTGTTCCACTTAGTTCCAGGGGTAATGGTGGAACACGAATGTCCCATGCTTGTCCAACTTAGTTCCACATTTAGCCACACCAAACGTAGGATAAATGTGTTCTGTCCTGTCCTGTCCCACTCTGTCCAACATACCAAACGCACCCTAAGTATCTCTTAATTAGTTTAGTCTATAAATAGGGGTTACTGTTTTCATTAATATTAAGTTATTTTGATCAATAAAATTATCTTTAAGGTTTTGGGCAAATTAAATGAAAAAGTAACATATTTTAACTTGATTCCTAATTTGGGTTACGTACCTTCAAAACTTCTATTTTTTAGTATCTAAGATGTAAAGTTTTAAACATTTAAGTACCCGGATAACATGTTGAAGCATTAACCGGTTACCATGCTGATGTGGCGAGTGATGTGGTGCTGACATGAATATCTTAATCTAACCGGTTAATGCTTCAACATGTTTAACCGGTTAATGCTTTAACCAGTTACCCGGGTACTAAAATGTTTAAAACTTTATATCTTAGGTACCAAAATGAAAGTTTTAAAAATACGTTTTCTAAAATAGGAAACGAGTTAAAGTACATATTATGACCTATAACAATCCAAAAGTGCAGATTTTTCTGTATATTTGGTATATGGATATGACGGAATTCACCTGAGTGAAATAAGTAGATGAAAGAATTATGAAATGTTTGAAGGTTTTAATTTAATATAGGTAGTTTACTCTTTACCTATTTTTAATTCAGCTTGGTCTATATAGACGGCTTAATAATACAAAAAACTTAATTCATACAGAGCTTAATGGAAAACAACCAAACAACCCCTTGAACCACATCTAAAAGGAGTAAACCAGAGCCGGAACCTTTTGACGTATATCTATCAGCACAATAATCGATACACACAACCCGCAAACGCAAGGTTCAAACTTGAGCTTAGAAGCATTACTGTTTGTTGCAATCGAGAAAATTGAGGATGAGTTGATTCACGTGATCGGGGAATTGTTCGTGAACAAAATGAGATCCTTCAGGCAAGTATATGGTTTCGAGTTTGGGTACGTATTTCTTGACCGCCCCACTCCTTATGTATTCTTCGGTTCCAGGTATCTTGAACACGAAATCTTTCTCACCCATGATTAGCAACGTCGGAGCTTCTATTTTCAGATCTTTTGGAGCTTCTTTCGGAGGTTCAAATTTGTCCTTTAGAATCCTACAACGATTAACAAAATTGAGAGCTAAACGAGAACCACACCTTACTACCGAATTGACTCAAAGACGTTGCACAATTCTTTTATATCTTGTTTTGCAAGCCTGGGTTCTTCACGGAAACAGGGGTAAAGTCTAGACCCTACTTTTTGTGTTGGATTTACTGGATTAATTTGGCTTGGTCCGGTTCACATCATACCATTAGTACCAATATGATTACTAGCACTCTGTTGCAACGTCTCGTCTATTTTGAGATGGGTGTTTTTGGTACGTGGATGAGACTGAACAGAACATGACAGATGAGAGTTAAGGTACGCGGGTGAAAGAATTGTGGAAGATTTAGGGTTTTATTTAACAAGGGTAGTTTGGTAATTTACCTTGTCCTATCTCCCTCCTTTTTGTTCCACCTATTTTGGTGGGACGGTGGGACAGTAAAAAATGCATTTTTGTCCCGGTCTGATGTCGATGCCGAACGTGGGCAACAAGTTTTTGTAATGTCCTATCTCACCTACACTTTGATGTTACATGGTACTATCAGTAAATTACCTGTAAGGAACTTTGAGTGCAGTTCGAAATCCGGATTTCTCATACAAATCCCCGTAGACGGCAAGATCCTCCTCTGTGAACCAAGAAGGTAAAGGAGTGGATGGTTCCACCAAATCCATTATCTCCTCGTTTTCACCCGCTATCGGTATTTCACTTCTAGAAAACAAAATGTAGATGTTTCTCACCACCGTTTTAGCATCAAAACGTCCAAAATCAGCTTCAGCTCTTCCAGATTCCTGACAAAGGTTTCAATTATACGGAATATTCGAATATCATGAATTTACCGAGTTAAAAAGATGTCTTTTTTGCTTAAAATGTAAGAATCAAGAATTCTTTATTGATTCTAATACGTTAATCACGATATGAATGCGTACCTGCCATCTTTGAATGTAGTAGCCTTCGGGGAGGACTAGATGAGTCCTGGAACCGGGGGGCCTAAATGCCACACCGAGTGATACAATTCCTGCAACTTTCTCTGGGTTAAAAAGGGAGAATATGTAGCCAACCATTGATCCAAAATCTTTACCGATAACAAACACCTAAAAATGTTCAGACAAACATGATCAAAATCAACTTCTTGGTGTCGTTTTGCACGGATTTAACAAATATCGTACTTTCTAAGAAACCCTACTCGATCTAACGTAGAGTCCAAATTCATTTATTTTCTCATTGTGTGCCCAACTTCCATGATTTGAGTATAAATCGAATGAGGACCAGGAAAAAGAGATTAGAAAGGGAGAAAGACAGCGTAAATGTATCAAAGAATAAGCTCCACAAGTGAAATTGATGCTGGCAATATCTTGTAACAATTACTAAGGGTGTGTTAGCTAGCAGCTTAATGAGTTTAACGAGACACAACTTATTTGGTCAGCTATATATGACTGTTTGGTATAGGCTTAATGATATGATATGGCTTATTCAGTAAGCTTATAGGGGAGGTTTACGTAGAAAGCCAAAGCAGCCACTCCCAATTAACAAAAACATTCATTCCATCGAGGAAAAAACCCCCAAAATATAAAACCTTCTCAATATATACAGACGGATTAATCCATCGACTGCTTTATCCATGCAGGACTGACTTAATGAAAACAGTCCCAAATGAGGTGGTCCAAGATTGAAACTTTGCCAAAAACATTTCAAAGGAAATTGTTTTTGAAAGCTATGGGAAATAGTGCTTGTGAGTTCTCATTCATCCATACAGTTTGATGTTCTAAAGGTGTCGTCAAAATTCAAATAGTACCATTGAAACTATCGGGGAGAAAGAGATAAAATTGTAACACAGATGATCAAATCCACGAATTCAGTCAACGACGTTAAATTCAATGGTGTAGATTGATCGAGTATGCCTCTGATTCGAAATTTACACACTAATTCACGATCAGAGTGTATACGTATTCGAAGATTATACCCTAAAGTTATGATCCATCTCTTATTGACCTAACAACTAAATCTCCCAATTCCAAATCTCTCGTTCATCTGCAATGCGAAAGCGAAGCAGAAGCTTGATGTACCTTAGAAATAGCGAGAGAATCAAGGATCGAGGCAGTATCGTGGACGAAATCAAAGAAGGAGGTCTTCTCGGGTTCTGCAGGTATGTCGGATAGTCCATATCCTCTGTAATCGGGTGCAATAGCTCTGAAACCCGCGTTTGCAACAGCAATCATTTGATGGCGCCATGTGTACCATATTTCCGGAAATCCGTGAAGAAAAACCACAGCCGGCGAAGACTCCGACCCAATCTCGGCTACGTGAAGCTTGATCCCGTTGACTTCAATGTAATTGTGCTTAATTTGATCCATTGTTTCGCACAGAGAGAGTGAATGAGTGTGTTCAAAGTGGTTGCCCTCCGATCAAGTATCAACCACCATCTTCAACGTCTATTTCTAAAGAAAAATGTAGGAGACGAACACCGCCGTTGACCAACTTCAAGCTTCTAGAACACTGTCATATTGATTATATGAATTTGAGTAAATTACAGATTTTATCCCTGTGGTTATATGAAATTTGAATTGGATCCTTGAAATGGAATAATTACAAGTATTATTATTGTGTTTTTATTTTTGTTACGGATTGGGTTCTTACATCTAATTCCGTTAGCCACAACCCGGTTAAGTCAAGGGTATTTTAGTCCTTTTACTTTTTTGTTTACAAAGTTGAAGATATATATATATATATATATATATATAGGGTATATTTCTTTTACAACCTTGTGCATTTGTACAACCTTTGCAACCCAATTAATTGAGATATTTATAGAAATGATTGGAGTTCATTTATTATGATTTGAATATTTATGGAATATGAATAGAGTTTATTAATTATGATTAATACTTTATATTAGGAAACAATTAATT